TTTTTTTCGGTACTGGTACTAGTTTCATTTTGTTGTATTTATCCGCGACACCTTAAAGGCCGGTCCGTGAAAATATTGTCGGGCATAAACCGGTCCGTGGCGCAAAAAAGGTTGGAGACCGCTGAGTTAAACAACTTCTAGTTAGTTTTACCTTCAGGTTTGATTGGTCCAAAGCACAGTGTGGTCTCCTAATAAGTGCACAGTTTTTAGTTTCTCAAATTTCAAACCTCTTAGATGGACTTAATGGCCAAGGAGCCAGACAGTTTTTAATGCTCTTGTTCAGTAGTTCTCCAGGGTTTCTGAAGGTCTTTCAGATGTTTTCTTTACCATTTGCTGCTTTTCCAGTCATTTCCTTCAGTCCAGTCCTTGTACCTGACCATTTTCTGACGAATTTTCTTTTGTTGTGTGCTGATGTTTGTTGAATTCTTCAATATCTTACTAGCAGTCTGTTGCTAAACACATTTTTCCAATTTCTTTAGTTGATCTTTTTGCAACAACAACCTAATTCCCAAGGAGCTATTAGTCACAAACATTGCACACCATGCCGAGATATGTTGTGTGTCCTTAAAAAATTGAGGAAACTGGACAAGTGGAGATCAGAATAAGTCTAAAAACTATTTACAGCAGACAAGCAGAATCTGAAAGTGATTTCGTTAAAAAAGGACCTGACACAGGACGTATCTGGTCCTTCAGTTGAGCCATCTACAATTCTTTCAAAGCCTCATCAAATGGAAGTGGCTTCCTTTAGAATAGACCAAGAATCCAATCTTAAGGATGGGAAACAGGGAGAAAAGGATGAGGTATGAAAATCTGACAGAGGTCCAAGATCATCTTGACAGAACAGAGCAAAAGGCAGCCAATATCCAAAGAAAAGCTTTCAATACGCTTCTAGAAGACTGGAGAACTATTCCTGAGGACTAAATTTCAGAAGGCTTCCCCAAAGAGCTCAGGCTGTGCTGAGGAATAAAGGTGGTCAGTCCAAATACTGTACAAATGCTGTGTTTGGCCTTATATTTCGATGTATCTTTGCAGGTTTTAATAAATCTCTGCACCTATTTCCAATTTTCCAAGCAAAATACAAAGAAATGATGGGTGGTATAAGACTACAACACTGTACTGTATTTGCTATGTTTAGCATGTTAATCACAACTACATTTGGTCACCAAGAAGTCTTTGTTCTCTCCTGAACTCAGCTAGTGCTCAGCTAAACTGAATCACTCTTCTTCTCTTGTCACTCTTAGCTGCCCTCAAAGTAAATCATTCACTCGTTCTCCTTGGCTTTTATTTTCCTTCTCAGGACTTCTGACTCACATAAATAGTGTCTGAAACTCCTGACACCTTCGCTCTCCCCTTCGTTGGTTGCATAGAATGTTAAGTGACCTGGATACTCAACTGCAGCATCTATCCAGTTTTTCTCACTTGAGATTTTTCCTCCCACATTTCCCAGTGTTTTCCAGCCCTTTCAGAGGACATGAGTGGAATGAATTGTAAAGGTCATGTGTTGAATTTGAAGTCGACAGCAGCGCTGCACAGTAGAGTCATATCTATGATAAAAGTCACTGAGATTGCTCCTGCCTGGCATCATCTGTGCAGAAATCTCTCTAGATTGAGGCGGTGTTGTCCTACAGGATACTGCAGAGGCATGCCTTTTACCAAAATGTCATCAGTTTTAATCCCTGAAGGAGGAGAAAAGATAAAGATGAAGAGTAAAAGTGAATTTGTCAAAGAAAAGCTGGAAACAGAGTTTAAGAAGTTTAGAAAACAGTTCTGCGTGTCTGCAGGTCAGATGATCACAAAGATTCTTGTTGTTGGTATATACTAACAACGTATATGTATAAGAGTTACACCTATTTTTCACTCATCCATCCTCAATCATACAAGTAAGAAAATCTCAGCAAGTTGATTCTGTTCATAACATTATGCAAATTATGTTAATGATCAGTGCAACATTTTAATTTATAAGATGAATTATCTGGTTTCTTTCGGGAGACATTTTCTGTTTCAGACAGTAAAGATGATAAACTATGACTGATGAGCTGAGTCCATAAAATATGTAGAAGATTATTCAGGTTAAAATGAAAACCAGCAACTAAAGCAGTGAAAATGCCAAGTACCATTGACATGACAATGAAAATTAAGAAAACAAGCAGGAATTAAATCCCAGGAACTCTGGGGTGGAAATTAGTGTCAGAATTCTTCCTTCTCGAACCCACATCAAGTCACAGCAGAGGTCCGTATTTCCCTGAGCCTGGTTCTGTTTCTTCCTGTTAAAAGGGAGTTTTTCCTTCCCACTGTCACCAAGTGCTTACTCAGAGGGGTTGTTTGATTGTTGGGGTTTTCTCTGTGTCATTGTAGAGTCTTTACCTCACAATATAAAGCACCTTGAGGTGATAACTGTGGGATTTGGCACCGTGTAAATAAAAGTGAATTGAATCTAAATTGAATAAGGTGTCACTGCACTGACGCATCAGGTTAGGCTGTCACTCCAATAAGCAGGGTTACTGCTGTGACCCGTTTTAACCCCAAAAACCTGTTTCTTGAACGCAAACACAGTCTGTAGTGCCTACGTCTAACAATCAGGAGAAGATGAAAATAAAAAGTCAGACAAATTAAGTGCAAAGCAGAAAGGCAGCTGAACCTCCACCCCCGCCGACTTCTCTCTGAGACAGCTAAGACTCTTATCTCTAAGTGTTTAGTGTGGATGCTCCTGGCAACTGATTAATATTTGATTAAGCGGGAGGAAGAAATCCCAATATTGAGTCATCTAAAAGTAAGAAAACACTCAGAAAATAGTCTGAGAATAATGAAATGGACAATTTCTCCCCACAAATAGCATGTTTACTTAATGCAGCTAACATTAGCTGTGCTAGCAGAAGTAGCCTTCTTTGCTAACGAGTATGTACGTACGCTTGGAGTTTCCCGACACAACCATGATACAGCCAGTCTTTATTTAGCTCTACAGAACAGTCCTGGTTAGCAAGGCTTTCATTCCCATTGCTGTTTTACAACTTTCAGTCACAGCTAGCTTCAACGAGTGGTGGGTGACTGCATGGCATCTCAGAACCAACAGTTAACTGCATTGTGTCTTAATAAAATATTAATACCTCATTTAGCAGGGCAGCATTTAGTCACCTTGCTTTTTATTTATTATGCTTTACATTCATAAAAACAGTTGTGATATCTTTCACAAACACAAACACAAAGCTAATTCAGCTAACTGGGTTAGCTAACTCAGATGGGTCTTTGCACCAATTTGCCCATAAATCCATCTTTTTTCTTAACCACTTATCTAACTGAAGGTAGTTTGGGGGGGTGTTGAATCTATACCAGCTGTCACATCTATCGCAGGTCTAACATACAGAACCTGCTGCCGACTATCACAGCTGACCGATTTAGAGTAACTGGTTATTCTGACATGCACGTTTCTGCATGTTCTCCATGTGCCTGCATGATTTCTCTCTGGGCTTCAACCTTCTCACTGTGATGGGGACTGTGCTGAGCTGAACTCTGCCACCTCACCAACCTATAATTTCAAATTTCAGCACTATGTACCTCAACATGTGGATGCAAGCAAACTACTTTTTGCAGCAGTCTTTTCCAGACTTTTCAACCATCTGCTTTGTTTCTACATCTCTACCCATTTCATTTCTCTTCTTTACTTTCCCTAATCTCACCAGTTTGCTCTTCTCCCTCTACGGCAGATCTCGCTGGATGCTCAGAGGATTCGGCTGTTGCAGCTGCCGGAGGGGAAGGCCTCCACCAGCTCCTCGTCCTCTGGGACCAGGCAGACTGTCTACGAGGTTTGCGTTTGCCCCAACGGGAGGCTCTTCCTGTCCCAGGCTGGCACCGGATCCACCTGCCAGATCAGCAACAACGTCTGCCTCTAGGACTCATACGTACAAAAATAAACAAACGCATCCTGAAAGAGAGACGGGCTAAACAGACAGATGTACACATATCGCCTGCCTTTAGGACTGATTCACAGATAACACGTACAGAAATACAAAGACTGCCAGAGCTGATGGACAAACAATCATAGATACTGTACTTACACACTGATGGAAACACTTTACAATCACAGACTGATGTTTAGGCCCAAACGATATGTTTTAAGCTCCTGACATGTTCCAGTTTAATGCAACCTTTTTCTTTCCCTTAATTTCCTGAGTTGAAGTCGATCATCATGAGAACCTAAAAGTCTCCGCTAAGCTCTTCACACGTAGAGATCATTACATGAACAAAAAGAAACAAAGTTAGGTTTTTTAATACAGCTGAGGTCTCCGTCACATTGGGAATAAACTGACTCTATTTAACAAAAGGCCAGTATTTGTAATATATCTGTGTGATCCTAACAGTCATACGCAGAGATCTGTAATCACACCACACATATTTTAACACGTGAACATGGTACACACACACACACACTTTGCTTGTAGAAGCCTCCTGGTAGAAACTAAAAGGAGGATCTCCAGAGAGTTACTGAGAGACGCTGACGTGTTCCCTTTCTCTGTCAAGAGCATTTCAGTACGAGAATCACTAGGGTGATCACCTCCTTTCTTCCTCTGCCTCCATCTTCTCTTTCCTTCCCTGTAGCTTGCTTCAGTTGAGGTTTTAAAGTTCACACCAGTGGTTCTCAAACTAGAGGGTGGGCGCTAATTTAGAGAAATGATTTTTGAAGGGAAGGACGGCCTGGAAAGACTTTTGTTTCACAAAGATTCCACTTGGATCCTTTTATTTTTGATGTTTGATATAAAACAAATACACGTATATGCATCCAAAAACTGTGGGGTCCTAACATTTTTCAGCCTTTGAAAGAAAGTTTGAGAACTACTGATGGCGAATGTTCCTAGAGTTCGATCGGGACATAAAACGAACGCAAAGACTTTCAAAACACTTTAAGTTCAACAGCATTTACAGCGTGCCTCTGTCACAGTTCCTTTATGAGTTTGTTTGATTTTGTGGGGATATGTTGATGCTAAATTGTGACAGTAAGACCGTGTGCAAGTTGCTATGCTTATCAGACTGTGAAGCCATGTTCATGTCATATTGCCTTTACTCAGCTGAGCTTCTGTTCGCTTCTTTCCAAAAAAATATTTGGCTTCAAAGAAACAAACTGCATGTTCTGCAAAGTGCTCGGTTTGTTTTCTTCCAAAGCAAATCTTTTCATATTCTTTGAATTTGCAGAATTTTTATTAAATATATAAAAAGTTTTGTCCTTCAACGGGATGCGAAGGGATTCCTTCACATCCCGTTTATTATCTCAGAATTCTGAGTTTTTCTCGGGACCCTGAAGTTATTTTCTCTTCAATGTAGATAACTTTACCTTGAGATCAGCCAGTCTAGAAAGTACGCCACAATATGGTCACCTGCAGTCCAGCAACCATCAACTGCCAGCGTAGTTACTCTAGTCTCCGTCAGAGTCAATCTAAGTGAGCCAAAAAAGAGAAATTAGGGGTGTTCCAGTTGAAACAGTTAAAATAATTGTGCATCTGGACATCCTAAAATATGTCAAAGAGCGATGTTTCAAGTGGAAGAACATGTTAGTGCGGTGGCCTCATGCTTCAGGTGATCCTGAACGGTAAGGCCATAGCACGCTGATCCCGTGGTTACGTTTTTCTCACGGAAATCATTCCCTTAACATTCAAAGCATAATAAAACCACATCAGGAACAATCATGTTTTCCACATGGGTGTAGTGGTTGGGGGTGGCTTTTATTTATATAGCACCAAACCACAATAAGAGTGACCTAAAAGCATTTTGTGTTATAAGAAAACTCATCAAAATTCCAACTTTTGTTCTCTAAAGTTGGAATTCTGATCTTTTTATTCCTGTTCTCTGCCACAGGGTCCATTAACGTCCAGAGCGTTGGAGTTTTAGATTGTGTTAGAAGGTCTCTGGTTCAGATCTCCAGTCTAGACTCACTTTGTCGGCCTAATCTTTTAATCTTAACTCTTGTATTCCTGATGATATGACATGAACAAGGCACCAGAGGCTGAAGCATTGATCTGTTCGAAATCTTTAAACATTTAAAGCAAACTGTGTTAACTTTGAATTCTGTGGATATTTTGTTTAATCTCATGTATTGATTGTATGCTAACTGTTGTTGTTGCCTGCATAAATTCTGACCCCTGAAAAGAGAGCATCTGTCGTCCTAACACTGAAGAAAATGACGAAAAACAGCAACAGCTTTGATATTTCCAAACCTCGCATATAAAAACACAAACATCCAACGTGAGCTGCTCGAACCTCGCCGGTGGTCACCCTACTTGTTTCTTGCACTGGGACATTTTTTTAAAAAAGAAAAAAAAAAAAAAAAAAAAAAAATACACAAAAAAAACTAAAGCGAGCCACTCTGTTGAAAGAGGGGAACTGTGCCTGTGCCTTACGTCGATGCACTTGTGGCAAGAAAAAGCACATCACCCAGACTTTCTTTGGCATCAGTGAGTATTATGATCTCTGATTTCAGTTGTGTTTCATCACAAATCTTTCCCTGTGTGCGAATGCAAAGACCTTTGTTCCATATTTGACTGTAGCGCCCCCTGCTGTCAACACCTGACTCTGCAAAAGGAAGTGCCGGCTTTGTTTTTTTCATGTATCACTTTAAGTTCGTGTTGCTTTACATGCTCAAAATCTGAGGTTAAAACGTGTAACGTGATCCTGTGGAGTTTAATGTGCCGGTGTCTTTGAGTTCCACTGCTTATCTTGAACCACTAGCTCAAAAATATCCAGTCATGTACCGCCATTTTGTCACAAGTGCTGGCGTCCAAGAGAAATACACAAAGGGGTGTTTGGTTTAGCAGCTACCCTTGGAAAGAGTAGCTTGGATCTATTCTAATGGTTGTCAAAACTCATCATTAAAGCTACAGGAGAGGTCATCAAATGTCATCCATCCAGATGCTCATGCGGATTCTCAGGGGGCGATCTTGGAGGCGATGATCAACCAGAATCTAAATTTATTTTAAATTTTTATGGTTGGCATCAAAATTAAGACTTAAAACAGTATGAAAGGTGAATTGAACCTTCATGACTGCCCAGTGGTTAGTGAAGTCTGTGAAGCTTTAATTTGATTGTTTTCACCATCTTGTTGTTCTAGAAGTATCGCCCCCTGGTGGCCATTAAAAGCAATGCAGGTTTCAGGCATTTCTGGGTAGGGCTGTTCGATATAACGATATATATCGGATGACGATATAAAAACATCTATCGTTTCATTTTACGCTATCGTTTGTTTCGTGGTGTCGCAAAATAAACTG